CAATGGAGCAATTGTAGTAACTTTAGATTGCAGCAACTCTCTAGCCATTTCCTTTTTTCCAGTGAACATTATAATTTTTTGAATAATGTATGCCATTATATTATATGTCATACATGAAAGTTCCACTTTTATGTAATGAGCAAGATATGTTTGATTACTCAATTCACTAGACCTTGCTCTGGACTGTATATACAAATTCAAGAAAGGTAGACAAAATTTTCATATCACCTTCACCTACCCATGCATATTGCCCATGCGAGCCCAAGCAAGGAAAGCAGGTCCACCAAAAAAGTTATTTAAATCTTCGGAACTAATATTAAAACCCTACAGTTAGAAAATTCCAATCAAATTGCAGCCGGCAGAGAAAACATACACCTGCATTTATGTAATTTATGGGAATAAATGACATCAACTACAAGAATATCTCAGGAGAGTTAGAACAGAGGATGAACCTGCAGTAATCATTTTAAAAAGGGATTTATTGGAAACTAGATCAATTAATCCGCTTGTGACAGGGTTAGCCATACTAGTGGTTAACTTGTCTCTTCTATAAAATGTGAAAGGAAGAACAGGTTAACCCATCTAATTCTCTCAAATATGCTTACCTATATTGGTGCTACAAGGACTATGGATAAAGACCGTCATATTCATTACTATCATATGCACGTGTATCATTTCAGACACATGCTTACCTATAATGGCGCTACAAGGACTATGGGTCTTTCAGATGGTCAAAGACGTAACAGAAAGCAATACTTTTTAAAATCATGAAAGCAGAGCAGACACACGCCCTTACTTAAAGCATTCACTGTACATAGCATAATATGGCAATAAGAACTTGACTTTTTAATTTGGCAACAAAATTATGTAATAAACCTGGATGTTGAGATGGCTATCTGCAATTTAGTATCTTTGGTTTATTTGAACCAACTTGAACAAAGTTGATATCCTAAACTAAAAATTCCTTTCTCTAACAATAAATTCTATTCATATATGCATAAACATGTAGATAGCATTTCACCTTAAAAGTTTTTTGCCAGATTGCTTCCTGCCCAGTAAATGCTAAGGGTAGGTTTACTCCCTGAAGTGCCATCCAGTCTATCTCTTTCTCCCACCTCTCCCAGTCCCACCAAACATAGGAATCTGTAAAGAACTAAAAGGTGCGATATTACATTACCATACATGAATAAAGAATAGGTTGTATGCCAAATATGTAAGCTGACCAAAATTAAACAAATGAGTTTTAAATCCAATTCCTTGTATATTTTTGCCAATAGAAAAGCATATCATGTGGTCAGTCAATACTGAGAATGCAGTATTTCTTCAAGACCAGAATGGAGTTGATATTACATTCCCGTACTGGATTCTTGTATTACAACATGTCAACATCAGAATTATAACTTTACCCTTCAAATCAAACCAAGTAACTGCTTTAATTCATATTCCCCCTAGAGATGTTAAAAATTCAAATCTCCAAATAATTGCTGCCAAAATACGTTGATTAAAATTGCTAACATTTGTTGCAAGTTAGAAACATGTGATCGTGTTCACTTGTGAAAGCATGTAGATAATACAAAGTTTCAGTGATTGAAGGTACTGACAATTTAACAATAATAACCTATAGCTATTGCATTGTCTTCATCTGCCCTATGAGTGAGAAGGATATCAACTTTTTCTTAACAAAGAAAAAAAATTGTCAAGAGAAATAAAGAATTCAAAGATTATGCATGTGAAATCCTCTTAAAACCATCATACAATAAAATAAAGTAGGGGGATAAAACAAAGTTTCAAGGAGCTTCCTAGTTTTCCATGAAACCAGTCTATTTTATTTATTGATGCAGCAATCCCTGAAATTTAACTTCTTATGAAGAATAGTTCTATTTTTTTTTTCTCTTTATATTTTTATAAGTAAAAGGTTATTGGTAATAGCCAAAAGATTAGAACAAGGAAAAGGGAAAAAAAATTTCATGAAAAGGAAAAATAAGATTTAGGACTCACAGCTAGATGTCACAACATTCTGGTAATAATTCCATGGAACTGGGCGTTTAATCATCAGACCCTCATCTTTCAGAGGGGGTAGTGACCCAGGCTTAGGGATTGAAGCTATCTGAATGCCACCAGTCTTGTCCCATGAAACATGAGCACCACACCAATATTTTAGATACCAATGAAGGCCAGATGCAATTTCAACTGCAGTGGTTCCTTTAATCCTAGAAATTGCGAAGTGAACATACAAATGTCAGAGAGGCATTAAAGTGGAAAGAATTTCCATTTTCTTTATGGCATGTCAAAAATATTTTTTATTCCAGCTTTGGTTTATCTAACACAATACAAGAAAAACTTATCAAAGTGGCAACATGGCATATTTTCATTAAGCTGCTATCTTGGTTTATTTCAAAATCATATGCCTTCAGGAAGATGGGGCATTCAGTAGTGTGTTTTGTTTTAATTCTCTCAGCGACTAGGGTGATCATGTAAGACTTCCACAAGAAGTAATGGAATTACACCACAATTATCACAAGAAATGGAAAGACAGCTGAGCATACATGGGACTACTGCACCTGACAAGGAGAATCAAAGAAATGATAATAAAATTCAACTTAAATGTAAATCTCACTGATGTAGTAGTTAGCTAAATCCATATCAGAAATCCAATTAAAGAAGCCATGTCTCAGTGATGGAGAATATGCTTGATCAATTTTCCTTTGATTATTTCTCGTTTACTAGAGTTAAGGTTTAAACTCAGCATCAACCATCTCTATCACGTATTGCTTTTCTTGGTGCCAATTAATTGAGAATATTGATCATGCACAAGAAGATAACAATGATAGTGAAACATGGTACAGAACGTCAATGATTTGCATTGATACAAAGTTTTGAAAAATAATATCCAGCTGTACTGCTGATCCTTAGTGGAGTCCACCAACTTAGGATGTCCCATGGACATTGTGAAGAATCAAGCCTAAATACGTGAACAGAAAGAAAAAGAACAAGAAATATTAACCCTAGTCTTGAGTTAGAATTAGATTTAACATACGTGATCCCAGGCCCAGTCTGGATAGACTGGTCGTGATTGTTGATCCGAAAGCAACTCTCCCCCCCACAAGCATCCTGAAAATTTGAGAGAGCATGTTTTATGTTCCGTCAAGAAAATGCAACATGCAAAGTATAGTTTGGTAATACACGATAAGATGAATCAGTATTTACAGGAAAAAGTCAACGCTCCTTCCAATAAATTCAGCAAGTTCAATGACTATGACAGAATACCCACACTGATCATTGCATTAGACTATGCAACTTAGTGTACTACAAATCATATAAAATATCTGCCAAAGTAAAAGAGAGAGGGGGGAGGGGAGTTCATGTGGAGAAACAGCCGATCTGAGCTTCCAATGAGAGCATAATGAAAAGCATCATTAAGAAGACAGTCAGGAACTTTAAACTAAATGCGACAAAGATTGAGGTCACAAATTAACACTAAAATGGAAAAAAAAAAAGGAAAAAGGAAAAGGAAAATTAGTTCTGGTTCCTGCTTTTTTCCAGCTTTATCAGTGACCGAAACAAAGCACAATGGCGAACCAAAACAAATTGGCACAAGGACACTAAAGATTAACCAGCACGTAAAGTCTCAAATAAAACTAATAAGATTCACCGAGTTAAAAAGAAAAGCAAACACCTTAGAGATTATTTTGAACTCAAAACTGGATAAATGGGAAGGAAGCAGTCTTCTCAGAAGATCTCTAGCTGCAGCTTCTTGCACTGAAGCTGGGACCCGTTTGGAGTCCAAGCGCTGGAGCAAAGCTTCTATAGCTTCATGCTTGGAGAAAGCCACGGATAGTAGCGTTGGGATCAAAATCAAAAACAGAAACTCGAACTTGAACATATTTCTACAGTGGATCGAATTTTGCATTATCGAACACAGGAACATGAATGATCATCTGTCCTGTCCTTCTTGTCTGAGGTTCACCTGTTCCATCTCATCCTTTGGAATTTTATTACTAATTAATAATTAATTACTTAAAATTAATAAATTTGATTAATTAATTTTTTTCCTAACGGATAAAACTATAATATAACAGTATTGCTCCCAGCACTGCTTTGGTCGTTTCGCCGCCGAATACTTATCACGACAGCTAAAACGACTCGCTGATTTTACAGGCCTTCAAAATACGGCAGATTAAAATCCTGAAAATTGCCGTTGGGCTTGGGCCTTCATCATAACTTTGGGACCTATTGGTTTTCCCCAGAAAAAAAATGAAATATAAAACCCATAATTATGTTAAAATATGAAAAAACGAGGGATGAGTTATGATGAAGTTTGCTTGGTGCTTTGAAATGGCATTTTTAAAATAACTCATAAATATTTCATTAAAATTTGTAAGGGACAAAAGTTTCATATTAAGTAACACGAGGTTTATAAATAGAAATCGAGGAACTTGCTTGAAAACACCTTCAAAAAGCACCAAATAGTAGTTTTCATGAAGTGTAATGTTTTCTCAAACATGCTCTAAGCATCTTAGACTCTTTTTAGGCATCTTCATTGCCAATGTGTAAAATAAACGTGTCTAAGATGTCTTCGTTTATTACAGCCTAACCACCGTAAAAATCAGCATAATCAGAATACATCACAAGCTCAAACAAGACCATTCATGACATGACATAAAATAAAAGGCAAATTCTCTGTTGAATCATGAATGTTGAACTCTAGCCAAATCATATTGCAATGATTTCTGACAGTACGATTGATCATGGGATAGCAAAATCAGCCAGCAACTGTGGGAGTTTTTTTTTTTTTTTTTGCATTCGTTATTTCTCTGATTGATGGCCTCGTTTCAACATTATTCCCTTTCTCTGATGGTGCCATCTGTCCCTCCTTGATGCCACCCTCTTGATTGGTAAGTCTTAGATGTACCAAACTGCTTCCTAACTTGTTCAAAACTCGTAAGTGAATGAAATCCAGCATGCTTTCAAAGCTATCTGTATAATTTGAGACCATAGAGTAGATTTGCCATCTTTTTTCAAAGAGATGCTGAAGTTCCTCGTTAACCATGAACAATATTCATATTACAGTTCATACACAATGAACATTAGTTCACCACCCAAAAAAGAACATACATCAAACAAAATTGCACTGTGAGAAATAAACGCTTATCAACAGAATCAGGAAATATTTGCGTTCTGCAATGATTGGCATGCCACTGCACCAGCAGATGTCCGCATTACATGCTCCCCAAGCATTGCTACACAAGAAGCATCTGTCTTAAGATGAGGTTGTACCGATTCCCAGGTCTTCTTTTTCTGAATCTGCAGATAGTCACGGAAGAATAATAATAGTGGCATCAAAACATGGGATTGAGATCCAGGATCAATTACCAAGATATAACAGAGCAACAATCAACTATTTTGAAAACTTTCAGAGAAAATATCACTCCATGTATATCCTTCCATTAAACTAGACACGTTTCTTTTGTATTATACAGAGTTTGAAAAATAAGTCACACTATTCATGGTTTATATAGCTTGTTATGAATTTATATTATACATTGATACATGGTTTGAGTAGGAGAGATAAAAGTGAGACCATAGGTTATAATCTGGAGCTGAAAAACCACATTTGGAACCCATTACATTTTAAGCCAACGAGGCCTTCCAATAGATAAAAATAAGCAATTAGAATACAAAAAAGCTAAACAAATCATCGTGTCTGAAAGTAAATGCAATCCAAAAGCAGATCTGCTAAGCTGATAATCTGCCCTGAAGTCAAATGGCATATCGACCTTTGCCACTAACTCCCAGACTAATATCTGTCATTTTCTTTTGAATTTGTATGCAAGTCAATTCCAAAATTTATTCAATGCAATCGATTCTATTCATTTCTTTCTATCTTCGGCCCCTTGTTATTCAGATTTATAGATCTTCATTCCTAAACTTTAGTATGTGATCGATCTCTTCCTTGCAACATCAAAAACAATTCCAGATGGTTTCAGATCTCAGTTTATCAGCTCAACCCAGAATGAAAGGTTCATTGAATAGTAAAATTTGGTGATTGTATGAAAATTTGCCCAATATTTAAGATGACAAAGTATCATATGATGAAAAGAAAAATGTTCAGTGTCAGGTAATATTCTCTGAGTTTCTGCAGGCGAAAAAGAAAAACAAAGCATGTGCTTAATCTTAAAAATTTAATCATTACAAACCAACGTTGTCATCAATCTAATAGTCTTCAAGATATTTGAAGCATGCCTTTAGCCATCATTAAGATAATTTTCAGAAGCCTTCTGTATTAAAAGAAAGATTGTTTTCTTCATCACTAACTGTAATTAAAACAAAATTTGTCCATAACTGACAAAAATAAACTTAGCCAAATTTTTTAGCAATAAAAAAAGTCATTGCCCAATGTTATAGAACTTATCTGCATTAAACAAGGCTATCATATGGTTATTGAAGCAGAGCTATTACCTGGTTCGGAGTGGCAGGAGCAGGTTGATTTTCCTTTTCATCTTCTGATCCAAACCATATTCTTTCCCCAGGGGCTGCTTCCTCAGGAGGAAAAAGAAGTTCAACATTTTCATGCTTTGCATCAGAAGCAGCCATGAGCATTCCGGAAGACTTGACCCCACGCATGTTCCTTGGCTTCAAATTGGAAAGCACAATTACTTTTTTGCCCTGCACATATGAATTAATTATGATGTTGAAGAATGTCAGACAAACATGATACTTAAATCACAACTTCAAGTCCAATTCTGAAACCTCATTTTATATTTAAAAACAGTTACTGCAGTCCAGACGACAAGAATCTGTCTATCCGATCTATCATTTCATACATTATTTGCACAACATAAAGCGTCTTGCTAGCAGAATTCTCATTTCAAGGAGCAACAAGTGACACGACTTGAAAGTTAAGATAACTGTTCTTCTCTGTAGGCCCTTACTAAGTCCAAGAAGACAAATCAACATGGAAGACCAATGCATAATACATCTCACAGGCTTCCCCCAATCCCTCCCATTATTATCAAAACTTCAAAAACAGATTCATGCAAAGAAATATATTCTCATACACATGTCTTAATTCGTTTATTACATTTGTAAGAATGTCAAATCGAAATAGTTTTTTTCCAAGGTGTAAAAATTAGAAAGATAGCTGCGAAATAAATTGAGTGTGCATCAAAGTATCAATTTTAAACTTGAATTGCTCATTTATCAAAATAGGAATGGGAGTTGTAAAGGCTCAGCGATCAAACCCCACATTGAAATTGCCTAAAAAGAACCAGAAAAATTGCAAATGCCGGGATAAAGAGCCGAAAAACAAAAAATCAAGCTGACTTCGAAAAATCACCTGAAGGTGGTCAAGAGGAATGTATTTGACAAGGCCACTGCATATAATTCTGGGCTCTGGCTCACCAATATCGACCTCTTCCACATAAAGAGAATCAGCTTCCTCGTGCTTCCACGCCCTGAGAATTTGCCCAACCCTTATGTCAAGCAAGCCGGCAGCGTCCTTAATATTTATTTCACCGTTACCAGGAGCATCGCCGGAATTGGTTGCGACGGATTCCGCAACTGCTTCATCAGTAGAAGCGGTGCAAAAGAAAGAGAAGGAAGATAAGATTCTTCTTCTTTCTTGGGATGGTACTGAGATGGAGAAAATGGGGAATTTGGAATGAGTAATGAGAGAAGAGCGAGGTACAAAGGATGAAAGGGAGCGATGAGCCCTGATTCTCCATAAGGAAGAAAGCGAGAGCATTGTAGTGCTACACTTTACAGCATTTGTGGCGATGGTGCTTGTTGCCATTGCGACCGTAGTGTAATCTCCTTCGATCTTTTACAGCTCTCTGGGTATGATGTGCTGATTTGCTGATGATATGAGCATGAGATAAGTCGCTTGTTTGGGAATGAAGTGCTTCGACTATAACACATCATCAGCAAAATGTATTGCGATTTGAAATGATATGCGAAATTTTGCATTGGAAAAGAGAGAGAGAACGAGTGATAGATAAATCTCAAAATATTAAATTAATATTAATTAAGTTTTAAATTTTTTTAAAAAATAAATTAAAAATATCAATTTAAATCATTATAAATTTAAAAATTTTAATTATAAATAAGTATTTAAATATTAAATATAAGTTTTAAATTATAATAAAAAATTTTATTTGTGTTATTTAAATTAATATTCATAATTCATCTTATAAAAATTTTTATCAAAAACTTAACTGTTATTAATTCATTTCTTTTTTTCTCTTGAAAAATTGATGAATAAAATAATTATTTTTAAATTCTTAAAAATTTATCTATGATGAATTTTTTTTAAAAAATTATGTTTCCAAGTTTTAATCCTCTACAGAATAATAATAAAATATAATTATTATAATCTAAACTAAAATTATTAATAAAAAAATAAAATTGTTAATATAATTTTTTTTGATAAAAAATTGTTAATATAATAAATGTAGTTATTGTTTTAGAATTAAATTGAAGTTATCATTAACTATATTATTAACATTTAAGCTGAAATTGTTAATATAAGAAACCTACATGTTATTATATATTTAAATTAAAAACTACATTTTTTATATTAATAACTTTACTTTCATTGTTAACAACTTTAATTTAAGATGATTAGGGTGAAAAATATAATTTCACAACATAAAATTCCGTTAGATAAGTTTGCAAGAATTAGTCAATGATCACTTATTTATCATTAGTATTTAATTTGATGGAATTTATTTTTCGTTGTTTGTTTTCCATGAGTTTGAGGTCATACAGTATATTCTTGTTTTTAAAATTAAATTGATAATTAAAAAATTAAAAAAATAAAATTTATATTATTCTTTTAAGGAAAATATTCTGACCACCTTTTTATTTTGCTTTAATTATATAAACATCCTTTCTATTTTAAAAATATACTCTAATTTGTTGACTTCATTAGGAATATTCTTAAAAGATTTTAAAAACTTATTTTTAAATTAAAATATATACTATAAAAAACTTTATCTATTAATTTACCCATCACCTTAATAAATCTTAAACTATATTATTTTAACAGTTTCATAATTTCATTGTAAAAAACACGTTTACAAATTTTAAACTTTAAATTTAAGTTATTCATATAATCTCGAGCTTATATGTATCTATATTATATGATGAATAAAAATATACTTTTAGTAATTTTAAGAAACATAAATAAATAAGTTTTAATAAATTTGATAAAAATTATAATAATAAAATTTTATAACATGATAGAAATTAATAATTGTTGTAATAAAATAAAAATTTAAAAATGTATTTATAATATTTTTTAGTTGTAGATAAAAAATATTTTTTGGCAAATACAAATTTTTAGAAAGTTCATGTTAAATAGAGGTATTTTGGTTAAATAAAAAATTTAAAAGTCAAACTTAATTGTCAACTGGCAATTAGATCGATGAAAATAGAATTCCAAATATACAATTCATCAAAAAAAATTCTCAAATATACAACGGTGAAGAGCCAATTTTTTTCCTGAATTATACATGAAAGATCACAAATGTTTTTAAATTTAATTTATGATCAATTTGTCTCTCAACCTAAGAAAATTTGCTGACCATGGTGCCCTTAACGTCAAATTATACATTGTTCTTGTTATATGGGTTTCACATTTAAATTTTTTTAATATTTTTTATTATATTATAAAAAATATTAAAAAATTTAAATATGGGCCCCACAAACAAAAAAAATTAATCAGACAAACGACAGGGTAATGGATTTAAAAAAATTTTGCACTTGAGGGATATAAATTACATACAGTTGAGTTTAGGATCATTTATGAACTTTTGAATATAATTTAGTAATAAAATTAATCCTTAACCTAATATACAATGAAGGTTTATGTAACATATATTTTAATTTTAAGGGAGGTTTGTATGTATTGTTAAAATATTAGGGTGATTAGTATATTTTACTGGAATTTTTTTTTATCTTTTTAAAATTTTAGAGCAACCATTAACCCTAAAGGTTCTAATTAAATGTATCTACGGTTTTTTATTTGAACAAAAAAATTGCAGGATAACTATGAAGGTCATTGTAATTTATCACATTCGCATGGAATATTGACGCCTGTGAACATACTATATATGTCCATTCACATTTTTCTTTACGTTGGTAAAATATATTTATTCTCTAGATCAATTTATAACTAATTTTCATTCAAAAATTAAGTTGAATAGCAGATCCTAGTTATCAGACGTTGTTATTACTCATAAGCATGTGGCTTCTTCCTTTTCAATGGATCAAAGTATTACAAGATGTGCAGCATTTTTTTCTCTTCTCCAGACACTGTCTCACCCTTTGAACATTTCAAAGTGATGCTTATGCCACTTATATGAATATTACATGAGATGCATGAACAATCCAGAAATTAATGCCAACACCAAACCCACTAGCTGTGGCGAGGCTTGATCTCACGCCCATGGTTGAATCTTCTTTTACGCATCAACACCAGAAATTTAACAATAACTAGTTCCACAAAATCAAAGTAAGCAACACTCCAAGATCTATTCATTGCCAATATGAAGAAGGGTACCAAAAGCCCTGCTGCAAATCCTCCGCCAAGGCACAAGTAAAACCATTTATCAATGAACCCATCATCATCATTGTCCTCTTCATTTCTTCTGTCATTACCTGTTCCCCTGTTTGGATCATGAACATGATCATCACCATTAAGTTGGCACATCACAGGAAGGGGACAGCCATAGAGATCAGGGTTACCAACAAATGAAGATGCTTCAAAAGTTGTCATGTGACCTATGTAGGGGATGGCACCAGAAAGATTGTTGTGGGATAGATTCAAGTAGCCCAAAAATGATAATGAAGACAAGCTTTGAGGAATGGAACCAGTAGGTTGATTGCTTGAGAGATCAAGGGATGATAATTGATGCATATTTGATATGCTCTCAGGAATGTGGCCTGTCATGTGGTTTCTTGACAAGTTCAAAACCACTAGACCGAACAAGTCTGTTACTTCTTCGGGTAATGTTCCAGACAAGTTGTTTCCTGAAAGATCAATGCTAGTAACAAGGGAAAGAGTCTTGGTGTACATCAGTGATTGCCCTTTTGTGTTCACAATCAATCTATCTTGATAGTACGCACCTCGAAATATCCCGTACATTATATTTCTGATCATTATTTTCTCTTGAGCCATGGCTTTAAGATCACCAATGCTTGTCGGAATACTGCCACTCAAGTGATTTCTCCCCAACGTCCAAGACTTGCAACGAACTTACTTTTGAAAGCTGAGAAGGTATTTCTCCATAGAATGCATTTGACCTTAAGTTTAGAATCGTAAGATATGAAAAGCCGTCTCCAATCCAAGTAGGAATTTCACCTGAAAGGTCATTGTTTCTAAGATCCATGGTCATCAACACGAATAAATTGATCAAAGATGATGGCAGGTTCCCCGATAGTTGGTTGTTGTTCAAGTGTAACACTTGAAGTGATTGCAATTGACCTAAGGAATATGGAATATCTTCAGACAAAATGTTGTTGCTAAGGTCTAACGTGGTCAAGAAATGACATTTTGAAAGGTTTGAAGGGAGACTTCCAATGAAATTGTTGCTTGAAAGATCAATGGCAAAAAGAGAACCACACATCTTTTCTATAGACTCTGGTATGTGTCCAGAGAAGTGATTATAAGACAGAGATAAGAACATCATTCGAGGCATGCCATTCCAGAACCAATTTGGCACAGTATCTGAAATGCTAGCATTTGAGATGTCTAAAAAAGATGAGATATTGTGATTTGATCCACGTTGGAAATGAAGGTCCCAAAGCACACGAACCCATTCCGAGCTTTACGAGCGTGAATGGAGGCATCCAATTGGAGCTGACATTTAGAACCAATGAATTATAAGACAAATCTAACAAAGTCAACTGGGTTAACTTCGAAAAGACAGCTTCAGAGACTGTGCCATATAATTGATTGAAAGAAACATCGAAGGTTGCCGAGGCAAAAAGTTGTCCTAAACTTTCAGGAAGAGTCCCGTTGAGTTTATTCGTTGAAAGCTGCAAGGTGGTGAGATTTTTCAATGACCCTAAAGAACTAGGGATTTGTCCTTCAAACAGATTATAACTAAGGTCAAGCTCAACAAGATTTTCTACTCGACCTAACCAATTTGGAATTTTACCAATCAGTTGATTGTCGTCCAGATGAAATTGATGTAGATTAGGCAAAGGATTCCTAGAAGGGCAGCTTTCTGTTCCTTCAAGAAATTCAGGCAGACTTCCTGTCATGTTATTTCTTGATAAATAAAAATGACTCAAGTTGCAGAGTTTTCCAATGGAACTTGGAATACCACCTTCAACAGCATTGTTATCAAGGTTAAGAAGAACAAGAGAAGTCATGTTTCCCAAAGATGAGGGGAGTTTTGCATGTACCTTATTTTCTCTAAAATTAATAACTTCTATCTTTTCCCATCTTTTTCTGAAGAGTTGGGAGCAACTTGCTGTTAGATTGTAATTGAGACTTAAATCCAATGACACTAAATTTGGCATCTCACCCAGACCAAGTGGTATTCTTCCATATAGTTTACTTTCACTCATATCAAGATATTGGAGGCTGCTTACATTTTGAACCCAATCAGGTATCTTTGAATTGAAGTTATTGAAGCTGAGATCCATGACAGCAAGTGAAGTAAAATTTAAAGACACTGGAGAGGGAACATAACCAAACAAGCTACAACCAGATAGATGCAATTCAAATATAGAAGGTAGCTGATTCAATGCATCAACCCAATCCTTCACTAATGAAAGGTTGACCCCACTCATATCAAGATATTCTAAAGAGATAAGACCAGTTATCCATTGGAAATTGTCAATAGATAAGTCATGTCGTACCTTGAGATCAAGAACTTCCAAGCGTGATAAATTTCCCAAACTGGAAGGAATGAGGCCACCAAAACCAGCGTCTGACAAGTTTAGATATTGCAAATTGTCCAGTGATCCAAAGAATTGAGGTATTGCTATGCCATTGAAAGAATTGAAACTCAAGTCTAAACGCCGCAGTGACTTCAGCTGCATCAGAGACGGTCTTATCTCACCACTCATGCCGTGAATGTCGACGGCTACAACTGCTCCTGTATACCAAGCCACTGTATACCAAGCCACTGACAACAATTGCTGCCTCTCCATGAAGATAACACATTTTCAGGATCATGAAGCCCAGTTTTGAAGTCCACGAGAGCTTCCTGATCAGAGGCCAAGCAATTAATCATGTGGCCATTACTGCTCCCAACAGAAACTAAGATTAACAAGCAAAGGAAGTGTAATAACAACTCAATTGTTGGTAATTTTTCCATGGATGTAGCTTTTTCTCAAGCAAAAGGTATGGTTGCAGACAAAGCAACACATCACAGCAGCAGATATAGACGGGCCAAGCATGCCATGTGGCTCATTAATTTACGTGTGAAACGATAAGATGACTTTTTTTTTTTCCCCGTGTTAAAGGGTCCAGAATTGAACTTTAATTTCTTTGAGACCAAATGAGAAAATGCAGGAATGTGTAAACCCAACTGCTACTGCTACTACTGTTGCCCAATAGTAGACATAGACATCGTCAAACCATGCTCAGAGTCTTTCAAATTCTAGTTTTTTTTCTATGAAGTTAGGTACACATCGAGTTCTGCTTGCGCGTTTTTTACCAATTAGTACGCTTAAAGGTCATGTTCAGATTAGTTTTTTTATTTTATTTTAAATATTCCATTCAATGAAAGAAAATGATACAAAGTGCAGTTGGGGGACTGCATGCGTTTCCTGACAAGAAAGTTAGAATGTGCTTCCTTCTCGCATTGAAAATTTTGTTTTTATAGCCATTTAATATATAAGAGGTCAATTTTTATTTTCCAAAGAACTGGACCAGACTGCGAAAAAAACAGATATCAATATATTTTAAAAAACTAATTTGCTCAATATAATTCTGAACTAGTTAAAATTCAGTCATTGAATTTTGACTTGATATATGTGACAAGTTTTTTTATTTAAAGATTAAGGAATCTCACTTGTAAAATTTAATTTATTGAGAATTACACTTACAAATCAAAAAATGAGAATAGCAAACATTTAAATTAATTCGTGAAATATTTTTTTTTCCCATTTCGGATTTCTAAATCTTTTGATCTTTATTTAAAGTTTAACTCAATCTTTCATCATTTAATGTTATTCCCCAAAAGTTTTTTTTATCAGATATGGATAAAAATAAATTAGAAGCTGAATCCCATATTATTAATTTAATAAAAATAGTTATAAAAAAAAGAATAGATATAGGAAAAATATAACATATATTACACAAACAAATTGTAATTTTTTACAGGATACCTTTATCTCTCTTTCTTTGATTTTTATGCCAAACAAAAACAAAGTTATATTATTTTTTACTTATTGAACATGAAAATTTATGTTAAGAATAAGCATAGAAGTACTAGAAGCATTAAAATGGTCACATGAATATACTATATCATTAAATATTAGGAAATTTCACTTCAAAACAAAATCACATTTCAAGTTTCAGACCACAGACCTAATCCCAAGAATCCATAAACTCAAATTCAGCTAGATTTAATGTCCACGAGGACAGTAAATATTCAAAATTAAATTCAAATGATTCCAAGATAATGAGTATTTACCCATGAATGGAATCCTGTACCAGAATAATTGGTTTAATTAGTAACCTGATGAACCAGCTAATTGACAGGTCCAGTTTATGACCTAATCTAGAATAATGTTAATCCCAACCAACTTGATTGTAATCTCATGAGTTAACCCGACAATGACTCAATCAATCCGATCCATTTATTTGAGTAAAATTATTTGACTTTTTATTAGGATTTTATTGAGTTTGCTAATTTTTTGTTAGGATTATGCTAACATGTATAAGATTTTTCTTTCTTTATTAAATTTTTATTGGGTTATTTGAGCAAAATTAATAATTTTTTGTTTAAATATTCATTTTTTTCATATTCAAATATGAATATTTTTATGTATATAAATTAAATTATATTATTTTAATCAAGACTAATATAATTCTTAATTGATCCTTAATTAAACAACTAACTCTTGAAATCGACTTTCAACACATTAGTACTTACATTTTTTTCTTTTTTTGCAAGTCTTCTTTAAAATGTTCAGGATCGTTTGTTAAATAAATATTCCTTATTATATTTTTATTAAAATGTACTACAACAAAGATCTAATAATTGTACCTGTTCCTATAACCACGTGCCTTCACCTTAGGTATAATAAGAAATATTTATTTAAGAAATATCCATTATTATATTTTTAGAGGTAAAAAATATTTATATTTTTTTATCAAATTTTCTACCCGTTCACCTTAGGCAGTGAATGTTAAGTTTTAAAGAGATAACAAGAGTATAAAGTTAGAGTAATAAATTGAGATAGATAGTAAGCAACCATGTAAAAATAAAATACGAAATGACCATATATAAAAAAAGTAGGTATAATATCTATTGATGGGAATATAGTAAAAAATTATTTAAGATAATTTAGCCATATACAAAAAAGGCGATGGGACTTATTGGTGATGAAAATAGAATGGATAACCTTAAACCCTATAAAGAAAGGTAAATGAAGACCAATAAGAATATGCATAAAAGTTGTTGAAATAGACTTGTTAATTAAAATTATTTTTAAAAACTTGGTTGACAATAAAGTATAATATTATCATTCAATCCGTATAACCAACCCCACTTGGTGAAAAATGCTTGTCTTTTGTTGTTGTTGTATCAAATTTATATATAATTTTCAATCAAATGTAAATTTGAAATGAAATCCTAGGTGTATGCAGAGGTTGTTCCCGTAATCATGTGGCTTCCATCTTCAATAGCTTTTAATACAAAATATACATTTTCTAACCATCTAATCTCTCGAGAAAGCTTCTTCCCCGTGAAGATGTCGAAGAGACAGGCCACTGATCAAAATATTTCATAAGAGGCACAAACCAGAAATGCAAATGTCCAACTTACTGTTTGTGATTAGGCTTGATCTCGCGCCCATGATTCTTGAGTCTTCTTTTATGCATCAACACAAGAAATCTGACAATAACATCTTCCACAAAATCAAAGTAAACATCACTCCAAGTTCTCTTCATCACTAATATGAGAAAGGGTACCAAAAGCCCAGCTGTAAACCCCACACCAAGACTCAAGTAAAACCACTTATCAATGAACCCTTCAGCATCACCATCATTTGTTTCGTCATTACTTGCGTCATTATCAGAACCATAACCAGGATGATCATTATTACGTAGGCACCTCACAGGAAGGGGACAACCATAAAGACCAGGATTTCCAGCAAATGAAGATGCCTCAAAAGTTGTTATTTGACCTGTATAAGGTATGTCACCTGAAAGGTTGTTGTAAGACAAATTCAAGTAGCCCAAAAATGACAAGGAAGGCAAGTTTTGAGGAATAGAACCAGTAAGTTGATTGCATGAGAGATCAAGTGATGAAAGTTGGCGCATATTTGATATGCTGTCAGGAATGCTGCCAGTTATGTGATTTCTTGACAGGTTCAAATACATTAGACCAGATAGTTTTGTCATGTCATGGGGAAATCTTCCAGATAAGTTGTTTCCAGAAAGGTCTATGCTGGTGACTAGAGAAAGAGTCTTGGTGTACATCAATGACTGGCCCTTTGCATTCACAACCAACCTATCTTGATAGTTCTCAACTTGGTAGGAGACTAATTTATTGTACACATCTTGATATACCAGATAATGTGTCTTTTCTTCCCTTCTTTTCTCATGAGTAATTGCTTTAAAATCACCAAAGCTGGCTGGAATGCTACCACTCAAGTCTTTCTCCCAAGATCTAGGACTTGAAGTGAACTTAGTTTTGAGAGACCATGAGGTATCTCTCCAAAGAATGCATTGGATCTTAAGTTAAGAATTTCAAGATAAGAAAATCCATCTCCAATCCAAGAAGGAATTCCATCAGAAAGTTCCTTGTTTCCAAGATCCAAGGTTTGCAAATAGGATAAATTGATAAATGATGATGGCAACCTCCCCGAGAGGTGGTTGTCACTTAGATGCAATAATCTGAGCCATTGCAATTGACCTAAAGAATTTGGAATGGCCCCAAACAAATTGTTGTGGCTAAGGTCCAGTGCATTCAAGTTAGAACAGTTTGCAAGGCTTGAAGGGATCCTTCCCATGAAGTTGTTTCTTGAAAGATCAATGGTCAAAAGAGAATCACACTTCTCTCCTATAGACTCTGGTATTTGTCCAAAAAACTGATTTTGAGAAAGAGATAAGAAAGTGAAGTGAGGCGTGCCTATCCATGACCAATTTGGCATAGAATCTGCAATGCTAGCATTTGAGAGGTCTAGAAGTTTTATCTCTTTCTGTGATTGGAGCCAGGCTGGAAATGAAGGTCCCAAAATGCATGAACTCACTATAAGTACTTCTACTTGGAATGGAGGCATCCAATTGGAGCTGATATTCACAATGAATGAATTGAAGGATAAGTCTAAGAAAGTCAGATGGGTCAACTTTGAAAAATGAATTTCAGATACTATGCCTGTCAATTGATTAGAAGAAACATCAAACCCCGATAAGGCAGAAAGTTGTCCTAAACTTTCTGGAAGTGTCCCGCTGAGTTTATTCTTTCGAAGTTGCAAGATATTGAGATTTTGCAATGATCCTAAAGTAGGGATAGCTCCTTCAAACAAATTATAGCTGAGGTCAAGTCCAACCATATGTTCTAGTTGACCTAACCAGTGTGGGATTTTGCCACCTAACTGATTGTGGCTCAAGACCAAATATTGTAGATTATGTAGAGGATTCGTAAAAGGGCAAGTTTCTATTCCTTCAAGAATTTCAGGTAGATTTCCTGTCACATTATTTCTTGACAAAGAAAAGCGATTCAAGTTGCAAAGTTTTCCAATAGAGCTCGGAATACCACCTTCAATGGCATTGGAATCAAGATAAAGGCGAGAGAGAGAAGTCATGTTTCCCAAGGATGAGGGTAGTTTTCCTAGTACCTTATTTTCTCTAAAATTAATAACTTCTATCTTTTCCCATCTTTTTCTGAAGAGTTTGGAGCAACTTGCTGTTAAATTGTAATTGAGACTTAAATCCAATGACACTAAATTTGGCATCTCACCCAGACCAAGTGGTATTCTTCCATATAGTTTACTTTCACTCATATCAAGATATTGGAGGCTGCTTACATTTTGAACCCAATCAGGTATCTTTGAATTGAAGTTATTGAAGCTGAGATCCATAACAGCAAGTGAAGTAAAATTTAAAGACACTAGAGATGGATCATAACCAAACAAGCTACAACCAGATAGATGCAATTCAAATATAGAAGGTAGCTGATTCAATGCATCAACCCAATCCTTCACTAATGAAAGGTTGACCCCACTCATATCAAGATATTCTAAAGAGATAAGACCAGTTATCCATTGGAAATTGTCAATAGATAAGTCATGTCGTACCTTGAGATCAAGAACTTCCAAGTGAGATAAATTTCCCAGACTCGAAGGAATGAGGCCACCAAAACCAGCATATGACAAGTTTAGATATTGCAAATTGTCCAGTGATCCCAAGAATTGAGGTGTTGCTGTGCCGTTGAAAGAATTGAAACTCAAGTTTAAATGCCCTAGTGACTTAAGCTGCATCAAAGACGGTCTTATCTCACCACCCATGCCGTGAATGTCGACGGCTACAACTGCTCCTGTATTGTTGTCACGCTGTATACCAAGCCACTGACAACAATTGCTGCCTCTCCATGAAGATAACACATTTTCAGGATCATGAAGCCCAGTTTTGAAGTCCACGAGAGCTTCCCGTTCAGAGGCCAAGCGATTAATCATGTGGCCATTACTGCTCCCAACAGAAACTAAGATTAACAAGCAAAGGAAGTGTAATAACAACTCAATTGTTGGTAATTTTTCCATGGATGTAGCTTTCTCTCAAGCAAAAGGTATGGCTGCAGACACATCTCAGCAGCATATGTAAACGGGCAAAGCATCCCATGTGGTTCATTAATTTCCGTATGAAAAGATAAGCTGACTTTTTGTTCAGTGAAAAGGGTCCACAATTGAACTTTGCAATTTCTTTGAGACCAAATGAGAAAATGCAGTAACGTGTAAACCCAACTGCTACTGCTGATACTGTTGTCCAACAGTAGACATTGACATCATCAAACATGTTCAGAGTCATTCGAATTATAGTTTTTTTCTACGAAGTTAGTTACCCATTACCTTTTGCTTCCATTTTTTCCCCCAATTAATTCTTGTAAATGTCACGATCAGATTAGCTTCTTCTTCTTCTTTTTTTTTTTTATTTTAAGTATTGCATTCAATGATAGAAAATGATAAAAAGTGCAGTTGAGAGACTGCTTGCGTTTCCTGCCAAGAAAGTTATAATGTGCTTCCTTCTCACATTGAAAAATTTGTTTTTACAGCCACTGAATATATAAGAGGTCAATTTTTTTTTTTTAAAAGAACTCCACCAGACTGCTAAGAAAACAGAGATCAATATATTTTAAAAAAGCTAATGTTTTCCTCAATATAATTTTAAACTAGTAAAAATTCGGTGGTTGAATTTTGACTTGACACATGTTAAAAGTTTTTTATTTAAAAATTAACAAATCTCACTTGCAAAATTTTATTAAAAAAATTATTTTAATTTTTCACTCAACATAATTAATTATTTTAAGGTTCACTAAAAACTGAGTTTAGGATAATACAAGTGGTTATTCTTTTAAGCTCAGTTGTCAATGACTTTTGGTGTAATTAATTGTATTGAATGAGAATGTAATTTTTTCAATTTTATTTTGAGAATTACACTTACAAATCACAAAATGAGAATAACAAACATTTACATTAATTCATGAAAGATTTTTTTTGTTCTTATTTCGGATTTCTAAATCCTTTGATCTTTATTTAAAGTTTAGCTCAATCTTTGGTCATTTAATGTTATTTCCCAACAGTTTCTTTGACCAGATATGGATTAAAAAAATTAGAAACTGATTCCCATATTATTATTTTAATAAAAATAGTAAAAAAAAAAGAATAGATATGAGAAACATAAAACATATATTACACAAACAAATTGTAACTTTTTACAAGATATCTTTATATTTTTGTTTTTTGATTATCTAAAGTATTCCCATAATTGGTGGCTGTGAGACTAATTCTTTAAAAAATGTAAGCACTATTTAGGGGGTTGTCCTCTCTCAAATAACGTTTTTTCATACATATTTTCAAGAATCAAATCCTAAAAAAAATGCTTAAAAGGCCCAAGCTAATCCTTATCTTTAATTTTTATGCCAAAAAAAAATACCAAGTTACATTCTTTTTCACTTATTGAACATAAAATTTCGTGGAAGAATAAACATAGAAGTACTAGAAGCATGAAAATGGTCCCATGAAGAAACCATAACATTATATATTAGGAAATTTCACTTCAAAACAAAATCATATTTGAGTTTCAAACCACAGACCAAATCCCAATAATCCAGACTATTAAACTTAAATTCGGCAAGACTTGATGTCCACAAGGACAGTAAAGATTCAAAAGAAAATTCAGATAACTCCAAAATAGTAGATGCTTACCAATGAATGAAAATTCAAATTAGACCAACTAGTTGGACTAGTATCTCATCGATTAGTTATCTAGTCTAATTTATGACCTAAGGTGGGATAGTGTTAATCTTGACAAACACAATGGTGACTTGGTTAACCCGATTTGTTTATTTGAGCAAAAGTATTTAATTTTTTATTGAGATTTTACTGAGTTTGCTAAATTTCTATTAAGATTGTGCTAACATGTGTAAAAATTTTCTCTCTTTATTAAATTGTTATTGGATTATTTGAGTAGAACTAATAATTTTTATTTAAATATTGATTTTTTTCATATTCAAATGTAAATATTTTTATGTATATAAATTAAATTAAATTATTTTAATTAAGACCAGTCTTATTCTGAGTTGACTCCCAATTGAGTAACTAATCCTTGACTCACTATGTTGACTAATTTAAGGATTAGTTCAGTTTTCAGGATCAATTTTTTTCTTTTTTTTTTGGCAAGTCTTCTTTGTAATGTTCAGAAGCGTTTGTTAAAAAAAAAATTTCTTATTATATTTTTATTCAAAAATATTACAGCAAAGATTTAATAATTGTACCCGTTTCCTTAACCACGTGCCTTTCAGGTTTCACCAATGGTATAATAAGAAATATTTATTCAACAAATATTCATTATTATATTTTTATAGAAGTCAAAAATATTTATATTTTTTTATCAAATTTTCTACCACGTAAGGTAGTGAATGTTTGATTTTAAAGGGATAACAGAAGTATAAAGTTGAAATAGCAAGTTGAGATGGATAGTGAGCATATATGTAAAGATAAAATTTAAAATGAATACATATAAAAAAAAGTGGGTGTGACATTTATTGAAAGGAAGATAATAAAAAATTATTTAAGATAATTTGGCCGTGTACAAAGAAAGCCATGGGAGTTACCGGTGAGGAGAGTGTAATGGATAGCCTTGAATCTTGCAAAGAAGGTAGAAGAAGATTAAAGAGAATACTCATGAAACTTGTTAAAAGAGACCTTTTTATTAATAATATTCTTAAAAACTTGCTTAATAATAAAGTATAATATTATCATTCAATCCATATAACTGATTTCATCTAGTAGAATAATGCTTGCATTTTGTTGCTGTTGTAGTAGTATCAAATTTATATATAATTTTCAATCAAAAGTAAAGTTGAAAGGAAATCTTAGGTGGGGGTGGTAAAACTGAATTGAAATTAAAAATTAAATTAAATTTTTGTTTATTTAATTCAGTCTGTTCAGTTTTTCAATTCAATTCGATTTTCTTTTAAAAAAAATTTTGGTTGATCGATTCAATTCGGTCTAGAAATTCTTAAACCAAATAAACTGAATCAAAATTATACATATTTTTTTATATTTTTGAAAATGTGAATAAATTTTCATTTAGATAAGTAATAAATATATTTCTACTACTAGTAGTAGTAGCATTTTTTTTTTGTTTAACATGTGTTCTAATTTTTTATTTTTATAATTTAGTTTTTAATACAATAGTACTGAATTTTATTAATTTTCTCATAAATTATGGTATAAGATTGCAATTTTTTTTTGTTGGGCTTTTAACACCAAGGAAAAAAATTGGATAGAAGTATATATGAACAATTAGACTCTATAAACTCAAGTCAAAGACCATGAACTGAATAGGCCGATTAAATCAAACTGTTACAATTCGATTTGATTTTAATTCGGTTCAATTATGTATTTCGATTTGATCAATATTTTTTATATAATTTGGTCGATTGATTTTTGAGAAACTAGAACCGAACTGATCGAATTGACTGAATGTGTAGTGTCTCACTCTACTAAACACAATTAACTAATATAACTTATAGTAATTAAAAGATTAACTCAAAGAGTGATTACCAAGGTTTAATTCAAAAGTAAGGGATCCCAAGTTTTTCATAATCACAAAGAGTTTAAAATGATCAAGATCTCTTGTATCAAAGTAAAAATAAGTTACAGAAGCATGGGATACATCGAAGGAGTGAAAGAAATCAAAAACAAGTGAAAAATAACTCTTTTAATGTGTGACAGAGCAGTGCGCCACGACTCTTGCACACTGTGCCGCGACGTGTTGTTCTCTATACCACATACCATGGCTCAAGCGCCATGCGTCGTGGCGTGTGCACAAAAATTTAGCTGATTCTGTTGTCAAATGACAGCAAAATAGGAAAACTTTTGACGCACCTTGATTCTCCATCTAACGTCTAAACGACATAATTTAGGTGTCTACGAAAAGCTCTTAACATGAACTAATTAGTGGCATGGGTTTCACTTCTAAAACAAGTCACACCAAGAAGTTAGACATCCAAACATATTTTGATCACTTTTCACAACTTTCACATAAAAAGGGTGTTCAAAACCCTCGACAAGTGAAAAAAACCTTTTCTGACACTTGGACCATGTCCATTAGACTCAAGACTATCAGTACAATACATTACACACACTTAAACTACAGTATAACTAAAATTTACTTATCAACCCCTTTTTATCAAAAACAGAAGGGGAGGAAAAATTTCCATTGCATTGTACCCAAATCAATCAAAACATGTTCAAATATCCATTTTTACACTTGCATTAGTATTTTGGCCCTATAAACATATATATCTCAACATACACAAATATTCAGGGCCTAAAATATAAATCAGACATTTGCAACAACAAATAGGGTAAGTGAGATGGCATACAACTTAGAATTGACATTCGAATTCTATTACACAAAATAAATCTAAACTAGAGGCATAATGTGTTAATTCTTAGCCTCTTGAGCCTTCTCCCTCTCTGTACCAGAGTTAGAGCTTGAAAAGTGTTAAATGCAAGGGGTCAGTCTAGCCACTCAATAATCAAGGTAAAACCCTACCCTATACAATTATATATTAATTATAAAAACAAGCATATGCATATAAAACCAAATACTTAGGACATATGCACACACATATTATACCTCAGCTATTCTCATTAATAATATATTTGTCTCACATATACTAAGTACATTGTCACTATATTTTTAGATATGCGACTATGACCCCTTAGTCACGTGACTTGCCACAACTCAACATGTGTGACACGTCATATATTTATTTAGACAATAATTAACCAATCTCATAACCTCTTTATTTCTTCTGGCTAAAACTGTGGGCTATAACACTGAATAGGACTCCGTCCGTGTGACTGTCCACCTAAGCTCACCAATCATAAGATATGACCTGGCCAAAGATTACATGACTCACTTTCGGACCACAGCTTCCCTCATTCTCGAATCACTGGGTTGTCTCATATCCTAGGCTATTTTCCTCATTGAACGGGTAGAAATAACTAAGTTCTAGTCCCTCAATAAACTATAGGATAGTCCTTCAATAAATTGTGGGACAAGGCTATACCCTCCTACGTTAAAGGATAGCTTAAATACCATATGAATTTTTCTC